GAGGCTCCCCCGGGCCGGAGCGCAGCCGTGGGCAAGCCCTGGGAGGAGGATGGGGGGATCTCCGGGCATGGAAAAGAGCAATCACCGGGGAGGGAGATGGCCTAATCTTAGTGGCTTTTGCTGCTAATATTGCCTGCTTGCGGTTCTACACTGTCAAGATGGGCGCTTTTCTCATATGTTTCCCGTAGGGGGGAATTAAACCCCCAAGTCCCTCTAAAAGTTGGGTATCTAAGTGGTGTGTTCTGGCTGCACAGAAATTTGGGGTGAATGGGCTTAGGAAAGCAGTCTCTGTCAGGTTTCAGGTCAGTACCCAGCTGTACATGTGTCCATTTTAGACAAGATTAAAGGAGGGGTGGTCGTGTCCCAGGAGACAGCCACTCCCTCCTGACAAGGGAGAGTGTGCAGCTCCTCTGGCAGAGACAGGAGATGTCCAGCCTGCAGAAAGAAATCAGTTCAGGACCTTAGAAATCCAACAAGGTAAGGTGGCTGAAAATGAACGGGGAAAAGAGAGGAAGGTGTGTGGAAGTTCATGACTTCTAAACCTCGAAGCAGAGGTCCCCCTTGCCTGTAGTTTGTGTCTATTGTAAATACAGATTTAATGACAGAATTGTGTAATTGTTTGGATTAGAAGGAACCTTATAGATATCTGGTTTCACCTTGCACTAGCACACATTGCTCCAAGCCCCATGCAGCCTGGCCTTGGGCATTCCCAAGAACGGATCAGCCACAGCTTCTGTGTGGCAACCTGTGCCAGGGCCTCAGCATCCTCCCAGGGAAGAATTTCTTCCCAATATCTCACCCAAAGCCACCCTGCTTTGCCTTAAGGCCATTCCCCCGTGTCCTGTCACTGCATCCCTTGTGAATGGCTGCTCTCCTAAAGAGTCCCTGGCCATGTGTACTCTGTTCAAGTTTAGCAGGCTGATACTGCTTGAATAAGGTTGAAAAACTCTCTGTGGAGTTTTAAACTCAAGAAAAGAAAATCCTTGCTAAGCAGAAGAATTGGCAGAGGTGGCCTGCTGAAATGTCTGGAGGGCAGAAAAGGAATGTAAGAGGTAAAATATGAGAGAAGGGGAGAGAAGGCAGGCATTAGTTAAATGTGTAAGACAGAAATGTAAGAGTTGAATTCTTTTGGAAACTAGAAGCTGATGGAAGAACTTGTTGGCTGCCTTGTGCAAAGAAGGGCTGTGCAAAGAAGACATTTTGCAAGTCTTGTTTTGAAGTGCTTGTGAGGAAAAGAGAAGAGCACAGATCAAAAGAATTGCAGAGCAGTATCAATGGAATATTTATCCTGGCAATTGGATGACAGAGGAGCTTCCCATGGCTTCAAGTAGACATCAAAAGGAACAGCTGTGCTACAGGTGTTGAGGCTGTTGTAGGGGAGTGATGGAAGAGCTTGTGTGAAGGGAATCCATCCTGGGAGATCGGGGTTGTTTCACAGGTGCTTGGATAAGCCCAGTGTTGCCATGTTCTCTGGAGCTGAGAGAAGGAGAATAGAAAGGCACGAGGCTGGTGCCTGGATGCCCTAGGGTGACTTTATGATGCTTGTGTNGGCGCCTTGGTCCCCATCCCAGGGCAGATCCCGCCCAGGCGGGACATTTTCCAGAGCCTCCCGTGATCTCCCAGTTTGCCCTCGGGTATGCCCTGACCACCACGTTCAGCTCTGCGTGCTGTCAGACTCAAGCCAGGCTCTGCTGCGCTAATGAATTCGGGTTTTCTTCCAGTGACCTGTCTAGATCTGGGACGGGTTTGGGGTTTTTCCAAACTCAGGGCAACCCGGTCCAGCGGAGGGTGTCGCTGCCCGTGGCAGGGGGTGGAACGGGACAATCTTTAAGGTCGCTTGCAACCCAGTCGTTACAGGATTATGTAAAAATAATGCCAGAGTGCTTTTGTTTCCCTTATCTGCTGAGAATGAGCCAGCACACTCCTTTCTGAGAAAGGGAGGTGGCCTTCGATTAAAAAGCCACTTGTTCCCAGGCTGTCACTGCCTGGCCCGGCACGGACACGGAGCCTGCTCGGTCCATCAGAGCCAAGAGCTCCGTCCCTGAGAGCAGCCCTTGAATCCTGTCCTGTCCTCACCCGGGCCTGCAGTAATCCCTCCACCGCTTGCCTAATCCTGTTGGTGTAACAGTAAACAATCCTAAACAGCCACTCTCAAATGTCTTAAGAGTACTAAAACTTAAGGTGGAGAGAGCACAGGGGTGGCAACAGCTCAGACACAGGAAAATAAACAAACCCCCAGGGTGGCCAAGGGGTGTTTGTGTGCAGGCACAGTAAGAACTGTAGAATATCCCACTGGGATCATCGAGTCCAGCTCCTGGCCCTGCTCAGGACATCCCCCAGTTGTTCTCTGGGCTGCTCTTACCAGCTGGGGGTTATTCTTGGAGCCCTGTCAAGGCAAGAGCCTTACCTGGCTCACTCCTGGCAGGTTGAACCCCGGTGGTTGCTACTGCTGCTGGCTCCCAGTGGTGTTTGTAGAAGGTGTCAGTACAGATGCTTTAAGCAGTCCCCATGTGAACTGAAGTTCTGAAGGAGCTGTTTGCATAGAGTGGACCTCACTCTAGGATCCTGATCATTTCCTGGGAGGGACCTATGGAAAAACAAGGCTTATTTTCAGTACAGTTGCATTCTCTCACTTGAGGTTTCATCCCTGTGCAGAAATGCCGAGGAGAACGGGCTGGTAATACAGATTTTGGGTTTTTTTTGACATTTTAATCGTATTGTTGAAAGTGCTGAGCGACCTGCAGAGGCTCTGCCCTGTTTGCCCTGTTTGCTTGTGATTACAGCCAGCAATGTGTGCCACAGCCTGCTGGAGCAAAACCTGGCATCACCTGGAACAGGCATAGTCCAGGGCTTAGGGTAAGACCAAGAGTCAAGTGTCTTCCTGGTAGGACAAGGAAATGAGAAGAGCAGATACTGAGAAACTGCAGCTGTGTGGAAAAGGTTTAAAAAGCAGTAAGAAAAGGTGCTGGAACCTCACAGGTGAATTCACCTGTCCTGGCCCCATCAGTTGGACAAAAACAAAAGCCTGGATTTCTGACTGCTTGAAGGGAAGGTCCCTAGTTCTGTGATTCCTGGCGCTCCACTATGCTGGTTGGGATGCAGTCTGGAAATTAGTACTACTTCTCTCCATCCATCACTTCTACAGGTTTATACTTTTTGGCAATTTCTGCAGTTTACAAACTTTAAAGTTTGCTGTATCTTGTGACTGCAGCCCAGTTGTTCTGTGCTCTGGCACAAAGCAGCCTTCAGGCAGTGTTTAAACACCACTGGTGTGCTCTGTCATTAACAAGGGTTAACATTCTCACCGGGTTGAGCAAAACCCTTGTGATTTCTGAGGCGGGCTGGCTGTTTCAAACAGGCTGGTTTTCTTTCCTTAGCCATAGATGAGTACAAGCCCCTGGATGCCACCACAAACCCCTCCCTGATCCTTGCTGCGGCTCAGATGCCGGCATACCAGAAGCTCGTGGATGATGCTGTTGCCTACGGGAAGAAGCTTGGTGGGTAAGTAAAGAGGGGTTTCATTTCCTGTATTTAAAACAGACCTGTATTTAAAATGCCTTCTTTATTTACAAGCAATGTACTGGGGTTTCCCCCTCGTGTACTTGTGGGTTTATCTCCTGCCCCAAAAGGCCTCAACACTGGAGAAAAATTCCTTTTGCCCATTCCAGATGTGTATCCTCATTTCCCAGCTCACACCTGGCCCTCCTTGCTCAGGAAAGCAACAGCACTATAGGAAAGTGTCCAAAGGCTAATCCTGCTGGCAGGCAAGAAGTGGCTCACTTGAACTCTGGAATTTAATGTTAAATGGGCTGTGAAATTTGATCTTCAAATCCACACCAAAGTGTAAACTCACCTTTTTTTTAAGCCCTCATTAATGCTTTTGCTCTTTGTGGTTTTCAGGTCAGAAGAGGAGCAGATCAAAAATGCTTCTGACAAACTTTTTGTATTATTTGGAGCTGAAATCCTGAAGAGGATACCTGGTCGTGTGTCCACAGAAGTAGATGCAAGGTTGGCTCCTTTCCCTCTGGGTTATCCTGGATATTTGTAAACACAAAAAAGTAAACTGAGTTGGAGAAAGATTTTTTTTTTTTTTTTTGTCTAGAAGACCAGTGGGACTTACATTATTAATAATAATGAGTGTGGATTTCCCTTAGTTTGACTAGAACTCTGTAACAAAAACAAGTAGCACTGATCTTGGATTTTCATAATCTTCATCTTGCTGCTTAAGCAAAGGAAACCTCACACTTCCAGTTGTAGTTTTGCAAATTCTCTTCTATGTGATAACAGCTGCTCAATTTAGCAAGAGATTTGTTTGAATAGTTTTTTCCAAGACTTGAACAGGACTTGGCTGTTAACTTGTGCCAATTTCTGTTAATGCTCAGATTCTGAATTAGTTATAAGAAATTTCCTTCTTGAAAGGCTGACAGTCCAGGAGGGCTCTGAGAACACAAACCTGCTGTTGGCATGTAAATGCTGATAAAACAGGACAATGTTTTCCCATGGGGCCTTGGGGCAGAGAATTTTAAAAAAATAATAAATCATTTTTAAACAATGCTGCTTTGCCTTAAAGGTTGTCCTTTGATAAGGAAGGAATGATCCAAAGGGCGAGGCGCCTCATCGACCTCTACAAGGAAGTAGGGGTTGGTAAAGATCGGATTCTCATCAAGCTCTCTTCAACCTGGGAAGGAATCCAGGCTGGCAGGTAAGGCTGTGTGTGCCTGCTGTGCTGATTCATGGCGTGCTCCTGCCTGTCCACAGGCACTGATATTGCATCCTGCCCTTGAATAAACAGCAGTGCTGAAAGCACTGTGCCATGAGGAAGTCTGTCATGAGCACGGAAGGTGCCCTGCCACAGCCTGCTGTTGAAATAGGCAAAGTTTCTTCATACAAGGGCCAGGCCACAGTTTCCTGAAATACCCTGCTAAGCTGGCTCCATTTGGCTAGAGGAACAGCATTAATAAAGCAGAGTTTGGCAGCACAAAACATTTGCTGTTAGCTGACAACTTGTGCACCCCATTCCTAAATTAACTCAGGGAATTCAGTAGTTTGAACTTGCAGCTCATTCCTGAATATGAATTCTGTAGGTGAGCAAAGTGCTGTTCTAAGCCAGCCTGTGTCTGCAGGGTCCTGGAGGCCGAGTATGGGATTCACTGCAACATGACCTTGCTGTTCTCCTTTGCTCAGGCTGTTGCCTGTGCTGAAGCTGGAGTTACTCTCATTTCCCCATTCGTGGGACGGATCCTGGACTGGTATGTTGCAAATGGAGACAAGAAAACCTACGAGCCTTCAGAGGATCCAGGTGAGCACCCACTGCTGAGAAAACAACGGCTGCTCATTCAAACAGTTCACTCATAAAACTCCTCTCATGGCAAATGCTGGGTTTGAGCATGTTCTAAATAATCACTTACAATGAAGTTGCTGGTTTCTACTTGCAGGAGTGAAGAGTGTCACCAAGATCTATAACTACTACAAAAAGTTTGGCTACAAAACCATCGTGATGGGCGCCTCGTTTCGCAACACGGGCCAGATCAAAGCGCTCACGGGCTGTGACTATCTCACCATCTCACCCAAGCTCCTGGCAGAGCTCAGCAAAGAGCATGTCAAGTTAACTCCCACACTCAGTGTCAAAGAGGGTGAGTCTGCTCCTGGGGGCTTGTTCTGACTTCCTTTCTTCTGCAGTGTTGAGAGTCTGGGGTTCTGGTCAGTGCTGTGGTACTCGGTGCCATCCTGCTTTAGGGATAAATCTAATTTCCTAGAGGAAATATTGTAGCCTCAGAAAGAAATACTGTAGCCTCAGTTCAATATCACTGCTACAACTGCTGACACTGAGCAGGAATTGGACTACAGTGGGTTTGGAGTGAGCTTCCATACTCTGCACCTCTCCCCGTGGGACAGGCAGAGAGGAGGAAAGTTAATCTGCACATGCTCAGGATGAAATTTTACTGAACAGTAGCAAAGATGCTAAACTTGATTTCATCTTAATCTCTAGACAGGCCAAGAGGTGTTTTCCCTCCAGAAATTATGAACTAAGCATACACAAGACTGAGTGATTTGATCTGGTGACACTGCCACGATGGCTTGGAATCCTTTTTCCCATTACACTACTTCAAGCCCAGGTTGGATGGGGCTTGGAACAATCTGGAATAGTGGATGGTGTTCCTGCTTGCGGCCAGGGAGTGGAACTGAATGGGCTTTAAGGTTCCTTTCCACCCAAATGATTCAAGGATTCTCTGATCCTCTCCCTTTTCTGCAGCCTCATTAAAATGCTGGTTTACATCTCAGAGCAGCTCTGGGCACAGCTGTAGCCATGGGCTGCTGCCCACAGGCTGCTGCTGGCCTGGGAGCCTGCTATCAAGCGAGCTTTTGTTAGTTCTTGCCAAATAATCAAAGCCCTGATTGTTCAGAATATTTGCTCAGAACGTCTCACTGCTGTGGGGTGGTTACACAATTCCTTAGAATAGGCCTGGAATTGCTGTGCCATTCTGCAGCAGGTACAAGATAGTGACAAACACAAACACTGTTTTAAGATAAACTGATTTATTAGACTACCTTTCTCTTTTTCCTCTTTGTTCTCCTCCAGCCATATCAGGAGCACTTTCAATCTCACATCCCAGACTATGCTCCTGCAGCAAGCCATACTGAACGTATTTAAAATTTTTCCAACACACAGAAATTATCAGAACCCAAGACAATTTTAGGAAGTCTGAATTTGATAAGAATCTGATCACCTGGTCTGTTTCCTTTTCTACTTCTCCTGCACAGCTCAGGCGTGTGATCTTGAGAAGATGCACCTGGACGAGAAGGCATTCCGCTGGCACCACAACGAAGACCAGATGGCCGTGGAGAAGCTCTCTGATGGCATCAGGAGATTTGCTGCAGATGCAGTTAAGCTGGAGAGGATGTTAAAGGTAGAGATCATGTTCCTCCCATGTACTGCAGCCAGCCTGGTGTGGCTGAGGATTAAACAAGTCTGGGCAGGTCTTTGGGCAGGTTATGTAGGACAGGCCACCTAAACTCAGTGAACTTGGTAAGCCTCACTGCACGGCAAGGAAGAACTGGTGCCAGGTGTGGGCTATGCCTGCAGCTTGAGCCACAGGACTGGCAGCTCATCAGGATAACTGTCAAAGTGAGAAGTGCCTTAAATCTGATTGATTCTGAGCTGTCAGCACCAGCACAGGATACAAATAATCTGCAGGTAGTGAGCTGGAAATAAATCATGTTTGTACTAGCAGGCACTAAGAAAGTGCAGATCTGCTCTCAAAGTTTTATGTCACATTGTGGAGAGGCTTTCACATAGGATTCATCAAACTCTGATTTTTGGGGAAGAAACACTCAGTATACCTGATCTAGGCACTTGGTGACTGGCAGCTCCTTGCAGCATTCCCAAACTCTTACTCAGCTGTGCTTTGTTTATTGTTTTTCTAGGAGCGAATGTTCGGCACTGAAAATGGAAAATAAGAAAAGAAAAATTAATAATCAGCATTTCCCTGAGTTCTCCAAGCTGAGGTGGATCACCTGAGGTTCAGTGGATGTACAAATGTCTTACCTGTACAAGTATCATGCTGTGTATGGATAGATTTCTGTATCATGCTTTTTTTTTATCAATTTGCAAAGGGACAAATGGAATTTCAGATTTTTGTGGCACTTTTGTCAATACATGCAAATTAAAACCGACTTGCCTTGTAACGTGGTCGATTCCTTGCTGCAGGAGACACCTGATAGGATTTTAGTCTTCAAATTCCTTATTAAGTCTTCAGTCCTAACACATTGAAGAAAACAGTTTTTAATTTCAGGTTGTTTTACAGAGCAAACACAGATTTCACAAGCCCCTCTTGGTCTAAAACCCACCAACACTCCTGTGAGACACATATGTATGTCAAAATATCTGTGTGTATCTTATTTGTTTATATAGATCCTGTTCTATGAAGAGGAGACAAGAACAAGTGATAGGACAGGAAGGAAATGGCCTCAAGTTGTGCCAGGGAAGGTTTAGATTGGATATTAGGGAAAAGTCCTTCACTGAAAGCTGTACAAGCTGGCACAGCTGCCCAGGCTGAGTCCCCATCCCTGGAGAGATTTAAAGCCACATGGATGTGGCACCTGGGGACAGTGACAGTGGTGGCCTTGGCAGGGCTGGGGAATGGCTGGACTTGATGGTCTCAGCAGTCCTTTCCAACCTCAGTGATTCATTCCATGGTTCTGAGAGATCCCTGCTCATACCTGGATGCAATTTGCTGTTTCCTGACAAAGTTGCCTGAACTGAAAGGGAGAAATGGCAGCAGCACTGACAGCCACGTGCTCTGTCCACAGCAAGGGAGGCACCGATCATCCCCCAGTGTGACACAGCAGCTCTGCTGTCAGCACATCCAGAACAAGCTGGGAGCTGCTGTTCCGCCAAAGGGACAGCAGCTGCAGTCACACACAGACAGCTGGTGCTGCCTCCCAGCCTGCCCTGGGAACAGTGCCAGGCTGCCAGAGGGAGGTGAAATCCCCAGGGGACTCATCCAGGCCCTCAGTCCTACAGCTGTGCAGAGGGGGAAGCAGACCAGGCTGCCCAAAGGGAGGTGACCTTTTCCCCTGTCAAAGTCAAGCCAGCACTAAAAGCTTGATCCTGCATATCCCTTCTCAATTTAACCTATTTTGCATTTTTCACTCTTACTAAACTGAGAATTCCAAGAGATCCCTAGAATGGTTTAGGTTGGAAGGGGACCTTGAAGAGCATCTCATTGCACCCCCTGCCTTGAGCAGGTTGCTGTGCTCTAACACCACACACTGCACCGCCAGGGCAGGGCAGGGATTTGGGCACACAGGATTTGGGGACTTGGTGCTATCAAACTGGCTGGTCAGGGCTTGGAGCCTCTGGAATAAATGCCCCTTCTTCCCCCTGAGTGAGGCAAGAACCTTGACATGCATGGAATCTGTCCCCTCACATAGCCAAGACACATCTGGGTCAGTACCACTGAAATGAAGCTCAAATGAAACTGAAGCATTGCAGAAGGTGCTCAAGAGAGAATGAAATGCACAGTGAAAGGGGGAAAAGAAAAAGAGGTAGGAAAAGGTGTCTGAGTAACCTTTCTCCACTCACCAACAGATGCCTCTCAAGAGCTGAGGAGGCAAGAGGGGTCACGGGGTCAGTCACGGGATCCCTTCCTTCCTGTGGTGGCAGCTGGTGTTTCAGAACTCCCCAGCCCTGGGGTTCTTTCTCTGCAGCACAGATGGATGTTGTGAGGGGCCTGACATCCGTGGCTAAGCCACAAACTCCACATCCTTTCTGAAAAAAAAAACCAAGCACCACATAAACCTTCAGCTTGTACAGCGCTTTATTTAGTCAGTCACACAAAGTGTGTTCACTCCTTAACTCTTCCTCAGCCTCCCCTCTCTTCAGCAGATGCAGGGCCCTGTCTGTGCCCTGCTTACAAACTCCTGGGATTTGCCAGATTCCCAAACTTCCTCAGATTAAGAAATCAGGAGATGTCTCTTGTGTCCCAGGAAGGTCTGTGGCTCCCACAGTCACAAGGACAGGACTCAGGAATTAGGGGCAGATAAAACATCTATGTTTGGAGAAATCCTAAAGAGTCAATAAATAAACTTTAAAGCATTGATATTAAAATGACAGTGCTTTCCCAACCTTTCCTTGTGGTGGCTGCTCTCTGATCCCAACATCCAGCTCTGTGCAAACGCACAAAGCTTGGAGGGGGGTTGGAAAAGCTTTTCCTTCCTCCTCCAGCTGTGCCTTGCATCCCATCACAGACTGTGCTAAGAGAGACACACTGCTGCTCCCAGCACCTCCTCCATTCTTGACATGGGATACAGCAAAGCAGAGCTGTTGGAAGAACAGACACAGTACGTACATCCATTTACATTCATCTTCCCAACATGGAATTTAATTTAAAATTAGTCCTGAGAGTCACTGGTTATGTCTATCCAACACAGCCCTCACGGGCCAGGATGGATGGCACCAAACCCAGACAGTTCCATTTGAAATTTTCAAGTAAATCAGGACCAAAGAGGCACTTCCATCTCTTCTGGCCCTTGTTTGAATGCACACAAGATGAACAAAGCAGCAGATTCCATTTTAATTTTTGTTTACAAGATTACACTGTAGAAGCTCTGAGGAAAGAATCTTAATCAAATATGTTAATACACAAATTGAATGCTGGCATGACCAACAACCACCAGCTACAGATAGGGCCAAAGCCTTCCTCAAAAACACAAAAGCTGAGATGATACCCACAGGCAGGTCCTGGGGCTCTGTTCTCCAGAGTTAAGCAGTTTCCCCACTGCTGCACCAGCACCCCTCTTCCCAGCTGAGGTGTAATCCTGCCAGGAAAGGCTCCCAGACCTTAGGGATGGTGGGCTGCCCTCTTTTGGGTGAAGAAATTCTTTGTGGGGTGCAGGACAGCAATGCTCCTTTACAGCTGTGAGCCAACTTCCAAGAAAACTCCTCATCCCTTTGGATTCATCCTGCTCCACATGCTGCAGGGGCACTCTGGTGATGCCTGCCTGTAAAAACATCACAGGAAAACAGAGGATGTGGTCCCTGCTATTAAGCCCAGAAAAGAGGTAACACCGTGAGTCCCAAAAAAATAAACCAGTAAAACTCTAGAAAATAAAACCAAACCCCCACCCAAATAAATAAAAAAGTAAAACCCACCAGCTGGATGTTACCAGGAACAGATTTCCAAGGAAACAAGCCTGCCTGGAAACATTCCTAGGACCAAAGCACCAAGCACTGCACAGCACAATGCTGAAACAATAAAGGTTTGTGTAGGATGAAAATCTCCCAAATCTGAAGGTTTTCAATTCTTTGGGAAACAAAGAAGAGAAACAAAAACCCCTCAGTATAAACCCCACTGCTGGGATGCCTGGGATGGGATGGTTCACAGGGCTCCTCAGCTGGACCAGGCACAAGGTACAAAAGATACAAACTGAGGTACCTAAATTATTCCTACAGGAAGTTTAAAATGCAAGAATTATCCAAAAATCCTTGCTCTTGGTGTAATGCCACTTCATGATTTTAGTTGATGTAAATACCTTTTAGGTAAAAGAAAAGAAAATACCAAACAAACTATCAAGTTTTACATTTGTAGAACAAAATTAACACAGAAAATGAACAGAATAAAACTTTCCTGAACATACCTGGATGACATTCAACAACTTTGTGCTTCCTACATTCATTTGATCTTCTTTTCTCACCGTTTTTTTTGAACAATTTTTTCCAACCCCTGACTAAAATTGGTCATCCTGTACAAGAACTTCAGAGCTATCACCACTAATGGCCTCAAGGTGTGCCAGGGGAAGTTTAGGCTGGATATTAGGGAAAATTTCTTCATGGAAAGGGACATCAAGCCCTGGAACAGGCTGCCCAGGGCAGTGGTGGAGTCACCATCCCTGGAAGGGCTCAGAAAACACAAGGATGTGATACCTGAGGTTGAGAGGTGAACATGGTGGTGGTGCTGCACCGATGCTTGGGCTTGATCTTAAAACTCTTTTCCAACCTAAATTCCATGATTCTGTGACTCAAGTGGCTTCCAGTTTGTCAGCATGACTTGGGGAGGTGACACAATCCAGCCCACCACACCCAGAGCCACCCCACACAGCTGCTGGCCCTGCACACTTCACCTCTCCAGCCTGACCACACCTTCCTCCCCCAATTTTCCCAAGAGCAACTTCATGGTGTGATGGGAAAGAGTGAAAATACACACAAGAACTCATCTTTTTTCTGCTCTCAAGTGGGAGGAAAAAGAAATCACCATCAAGTCCCCAGGCAGTGTGCTTTGTCCAACCACCTGACAGAGGCACAAGCAGAGCAATTCCTGCAGGTCCTGGATGCCCCAAAATAAGGAAAAATTGTACAAAAGAGGACTGAACAAAGCCTGTAGTGGTCTGAATGCTGTTTGCTACTAGCAGCAGATGAATGAGCCTGGACAACCTCATTTAAGGAATGAAAACAGGACACAGAGTAGACACCAATTTCTATTTTTACAGGTAAGCAAAGAAAAGATGTAGCAATTTTGGCAAAATCCCATGGAAACAAAGACCCTAAGGAAATACAGTCTCCCACCTCACAAACAAGATGTGGCTTTCCAGACTGAAAGTATTTCCTGGTGGTGTCAGCATCTAATCCCCAAGATGGCTTGTCAGGAATGAAGATTTAAATTATCAAAGCTGATTGATCATTTAATATCTATCAAAGCACAATTTTCATTTCAAATTCTGGTTTTCATTTCCATCAATGCCAAAGTTCTGTAAGCTGGGCTCCAGAATGCAACAGCAGAAGACCCAGCAAAACCCACAGCACTCTGTCTTTTCAAATCACACTGAATTCTTGAGACAGAGCTAAAAAAAAAGGATTTTACACAGAAAAGAGAAAATTTCCTGACTTGATGATTGGTTAGAACCAAAATATTGTAATATTGTAAGAAAATAACCCAATTTCTTTAGAGCACTGGAGAAATGCTGCCCACAATTCCAAGAGGGAAGGAAAATCAATTATCTAAAAGTTAATTTATCTACTTTCCAATAATTTTGTATGTTTGAGCCTGCAACAATTTAAAAAAAAAAACAACTCAGTCTGGTTATTCCTTGCCATGCTCAGCTTCAAGCCACACCTGCAGCTCAGAAGGAAGGAGGAGTCCAGACTCCACCCCACAGCTGGGTCCTCACATGGGACCCACATTAACCACCTGCATTTTCATTGCCCTAGTCCACAAAATTCCAGCAAGAGACAGCAGCAGTGTACTCCCAGAGAGGAGCATTCCCAAGAGAACAAAACCCACAACATAAGCAGCACAAAGGAGGACAAATAAACAATTGTAGGACCACGTTAAAAAAAAAGCTGAGCAAACTTTCTGAACACAATTCCAGCCATGTGAACAGGAAGAAAAAACAAGGGCACGCTGTGCACCAGCACAGCTTCAGCAATTTGTATTCACAGCACCAACTTCTGGGGGGTTTTGAGGAGATGGCTCCCCACATCTGTAAACTGAGGGTCTAGAGAAGCAGTGAAAAAATGGAGCAGCAAAAATATAAGGGAGTGTCCCAGCTGCTTCTGACAACCTCCATCCATTCCATCCACACAGAACCTGGCACTGCCACAGTCAGTTCAGAGTCCAGGACAGGGGTTCAGAGGGGTCTTCATCCAGGTCACAGCCATGGAAATCCTCAGCCTGCTGGCTCTTCATCCATCCTCTTTGCAAACAGACCTTCCCCTTCATTTCCTGCTGAAGGAAACAGACCCAGACACAACAGGACCTGTTAGTGCCCACAGGAGAGGACTGGTACCCCACACTCACCTGAGCAAAACAAGGGGTTTGAGGTTACTCATATGGGCTCCTCTATCTGACAAGATGACACTCAAACAAGCCAAGCCATTTCCAAAGAAATTAAATACATTCATTCCCAGAATCCTAAATCAGAGCTGACTCAAAGCCAGCCTGCCAAAGCTCAGCAAACAAGAGCTGTTTCCCTGAACAGAAATGTTTAGTGAAGCCTGTTCAGCGTTTTACTTTGCCAGCTCCACTACAGCTGTGCATTTCCCCACACATTTTCATCTTTTTCTTTTCAATAATCAAATGCTCTTTGCCAAAAGACACAACTGCCTGGCTGGCTTGATCAAACAGAAGTGACACACACTTCAGCAGAAAACCAGGGGGAAAAACCCCTTCTGAGAGACAATATTCCTGAAACAAAAAAGAAAAGCTCACCCCTGGCTGTTCCCAGTTCTTAAGCCCCATCTTGCCTCACCTGACATTGCAAAGAATCAGGAGGTTCTGGACAGCAGGAAGGGTGGAATTCTCATTCTGTCCTGTCACCAGGTGCCTGTCCAGCACCACATGGACAGCATCTGGGCTGCTGGCTGAACACAGGAGGAAAAACACAGGGATTGCTCAGTGCCAGGATCACACCCTGATAAGCCCAACACAACACATAACTATTGTGGCCAGACAGATTTGCTGATCTATCACCCCAGCAGAGAGGGGCAGTCTCAAGCCCCTCATCCTGGAAAATTTTCCCTAGGAAATCCTTTTCTGAAAGGACAGGACTGGGTCCTTGATTCAGTTAACAGCAGGTGGGTAAAGTACACATATCAGGAGATAATGAAAAACTCAAAGTGTGTGTTTGAAAACCACAATTACTCACAATACAACACAAACTCATCTTATGCCAGACATGAGCTGTGATCACCAGGCTACAAAAATTAAATACTCATTTTCTGGCCAATTACAGCTCCCCAGTGTGCTCAGATCTACCAGCAACTGCTCTGCACCCCAAATAGAATTTTTAAGTTTCCTTATTCCAGACAGACTCCCAGACTGGTTTGGGCTGGAAGAGATCCTAAAGCTCATCCAGTCCCATCCCACTGCCACAGGCAGGGACACCTCCCAGTATCCAGTGTTGCTCCAAGCCCTGTCCAAGCTGGCCTTGCAAATGAGCAGTTATATATTGGTAAATGAGGGAATGGGAATTCCAGCTGAGAGATCCTGCCAGAGTCCTGCTCAGCTGGACACAACCAGCACACACACACTCATTTCCCAAGGGAGACACAAAGTGCCCATCCCAGACCCACCACTGAATGTAGCTCCAGAATCCTTCACAAAGTCCTCCACAATAATGGACAAACTGGCAAAATTGGGCTGCCTCACCAGCTCGTACACAGAGGGCTGAAACAGATCAAAAGGAAATTAGTTTGGCTTGCTTTTTTACAGAAAAAGCCAAGCAAAACCAGCACACACTTCCCTGAAATTTATATTTCTGCTCCCTCTACTATTCACCCAGCCAAATGACCACAATCAGCTTTGATGGATTTTGTGCAAGGAGCAAAATGGAAACTCTTAAGTGAGTTAAGTGAAGAGGAAATAACAGCACCAAACAATTCCTGCAGGTGTGATTAACTTCAGAAAGGTACAGACCTGTCTGTCCATGGCACACAAATATTTGGACACAGATGCTGTGCCACCTGCAGAGTCCAAAACCAGTAATCCATGTTGGAATGAAAATGGAAAACAGCTAACAGACAGAAAATTTAGGAGCACTTAGAATTGTAACACACAAAAGGAAGGAACTTAATTTTATAGTTTCCACAGCAACCATAGCTAGGCCACAACATGATTTAAATTATTTCATCATGACTGTAACAATCCACAGAGAGTCATAAACAATCCTTAACTCAAAGAGAAGCGCATGAGAACACTAATAGCTTTTGTGAGTCACAAAATCCTTATTTCTTAACTTTCCATGTAAATTTTCCACACCAGAAAGTTGTACCAGGGCCATTTGCATCACTCTGACACTATAAAATGGGCTGTGAGGTCAGAGCACACAAAATGAAAGTATCTGTAACTGGCTGCTTTAATTGCAAGCCAGTTTGTACAAACAGCCTTTTTTTCCTAAAACTTTTAACTTTTTTTCCTAAGACTCCCTCTACTTTTCAAAAAGAAACAGTACTTTGAGAAATATAACTTCTCCCCAGCATTCATTAAACAAACAAAAATTGTTTGTAAGTCCTCAACAACAAATGCAAAGAGCTGCAGCAGGAATTTCCAGCTTTTTCTTTGCTTCAGTCTAAAGTTTACTGAACAATCAGAGGGAAAGCATTCCCCACATGCCACTAAAAAGTGGGACAAACCCTTCATGCACCCAGTGCTGGGCCCCTTGTCAACGACAACTCTGCACATCTTGCACAAGCCAAGGGCACCAAACTGATAATTTATATTTACAGGAAGTTCAAAACCACCAGAAATCACACAGCAAAAAAAGCCCCCAAACAGCAGAAACAAGGTAAAAGCTTGGCATACCCCTGTCAGGCTGTATCCCTGGAAAACCCAGGATTTATCCTCATTGGTGGCACAACACAAAGCGGCCACTCCCTGTCCCACAGCACAGATAGGCTCTAGAAAAGAATGAAAGCACATTTGAGAGCATCTCCAAGTACTTAAAACACAGCTGAGCCTCATGCTGCCCTGCTGCAGTGAAGTTACACTGCACTGATAATGCTCCTTTAGGCTGTAGGGGCTTTCCTGCACACTGCAGTAGCAATTATTCTATCATAAGAATTGCTACAATTATTACAGTATTACAATTATTTTATTACTATGACAGTAAGAGGAAGAACAAGAATTGTAGCTTTTAACTCCAACTCCAGAGACAGCTCCACAAATGCTCAAATGTGGAGCACACCCCAAGTCTTGATTAAGTGCAGCCTTAATGATGATCCTGGGACATTCCACACTTGGCTCTGAGCCTTCAATGCTGCTGATTTGGACAGAGCCATTTCTGTACCACTGTAAGGCAGCAAATCCTTCTTCTGAGACAAGCTCTGAAAAGCTACTGGCATTGCTCCTTAAGATACTTTAAGACCTCTTTTTCCTTTTCAAGGCTCCCTTTTTCTTATTTAAGACATGTTAAGACACTTTTTTTTTTTTCCTTTAAGTCTCCCTTTCCCTTTTTAAAGGCCCATTAAGCCATTTGTTTTCCCCCTTGACATCTCCTTTCTCCTTCCCAGTTTGGAATGCTCTTCAGCCATGCAAACACTCTGGAGTCTCTGGAAGGCAGCCACCCTGCAGAGGCAGCACAGGAGCCCTGTTCCATCTACCCAGCCCCCGACGATGTTCACCTACTGCTCTCAGTGCTGAAGTGCTGCAGGATCTTGGCCAGGTAGCCGCTGTTGGCCAGGTCAGTCACAGCCCCGGGGCAGTTTGGGATCAGCAGGGCGTGGTACCGAGCCCCTGGATGGGAGGGAAGCAGGAACTGATTGTAGGGCAGGCAAAAAACCCCAAAAGCCTGATTATAAATCCACTGCATGTTTTGAAAAAAAGGACAAACCCACCTAAATCAGTTAAAAACTACCTAAAGAAACTAATAAAGCTACACAGAAGAGAGAAAAAGGTCCTTCTTAGGACAAGGGACGCACATTTTTAATGAGCCGTGCAAAACTTACAACTGTTCTGTCTGATGACTTCTACTCCAGCAAAATACTTATTTTTAACAAGTAACAATGTATTGTGTGCTTGCATACACACAGACATTATTTGTATATATTACATATATATTAAAAGAGAATGACCATTCCAAAATAAATAAGAAAATTGCAAAGCAGTTGCTTGGACTTCCTCTTAAATAAAAAGTAAACCAACAACTGCAGAAACACAACTTTCCTGCCTTTTCTGTGTCATTCTTCTCTAAAATCCTGGCCCTGAGCAGGCCCTGTTCCCCAGCCAGGCCCGTGGTGACACCCTCACCATCGATGGACTCCAGCTTGGCGGGGCTGGCGTAGGATTTCATGCGGAAGTCCTGGATCCAGCGCGTGTTGGCCTCGTTCACATCCACAAAGTCAATGGGCTTCCCCTGGGGACAACACGGTGACACCCTGGTCAGCATCACTGCACAGGCATCCAGGACACCTCTGAAGGATAGCCATGGGGGATTCTGAGATGCTTTCAGCTCTTAAAAACTTGAAACTTTCCATTTTCCCCACTGGATTACTGCTAATAGTTTTCCCTCCACTCTTTGTGGGAACAGATACTGGATAGAGAAGTGCAAACCCACACTACAGAAAGGCTGCAGTCACTTTGGTATTAAAAAAACAGAATTAGGTCTGATTTTTTAATACAAAGTCCCTTAATATCTACAGCCAATAAAACACTTCTCAATATATTTATATTATATCAATTATATTATTTTTTTCATGACAACTGAGATATAAATTGGCTTCAGGCTGAAATCCAAGCATTTGTCCATTTTCACTCACCCCAGGTGTTGCCACTTGCAGGTTAAAGGCAGAGCTGGCCAGAGTAAAGCAGTGAAGGAACGACTGGGCTGAAACACCTGGAAAACAGATTGCAACACCTCAGGGAAACAACAGTGACAGTTTAATGCAGGCCACACTTTATCCAGGGTGAAAAACGCCAATCACTTGTTTTTAACATTTTTAAAGTTTAATTATAATAAAATGGCTACAAAAATAGTAATACAATTAGAGTAATAATAATTTGGGCAATTTGAAGTAGGACAAGTATGAGACAATAGAGACAGAGAGTTATGGACTTCCAGGTACCTTTTTCTGGGCAGTATAAGCCCGAAAAAGGACACACGTTAACAGAGGATTAACCCTTAAAAACAATAGCCTGTTGCATACTCATACACTTCACACATGATGCATAAATTCCATTCAAACACAGGATTCTGTCTGGTAATCGTCAACTTCTTCCTCCTAATCCTAAGGTACCTTAGATCTTTAGCTAGGCAGGAAGAATTCAGTTTGTTCTGATAAGCGAACAATAAACTCCTTTTCTCTGAAAGATTTAGGTGTCCTGTGGCTGCTACCTGGTGCAAGTGCCTCATTCCTTTCTTAAAAAAAAATCCCACTTACATAGTTCTTATTTTAACCACAAAAGTTACCTTTTAACTACAAGATTACATTTATCATACTATTAAAATGTTAATACAGCATTACTAATCAATACAACAAAATACATACAGTAAATATCTGCATAGAGCCATATAATATGCACTTTTCACATCCAGCAAAGTACACAAGCTTGGGTGTTTGCTCATCTTGAAAGCTCTAGATAAATTCAGATGATTATTTTGTTAGGATTTAATGATTTTAAAACATCAGAAATGTACAGTCTTCATTACAGGTGAGCTGAGGAACAGAATCCTGGAATGATTTGGGTCGGGAGGGACCCTAAGGCCCATCCCGTACCAACCCCTTGCCATGGCCAGGGACACCTCCCACTGTCCCAGGTTGTTCTAAGCCCTGTCCAAACTGGCCTTGAACAGGGCCAGCGATGGAGCAGCCACAGCTTCCCTGGGCAATCCGCACCAGGGCCTCAGCACCCTCACAGGTAAAAGATTCTTTCCCCAAACACCCAATCTGAGCCGAGCCTCCTTCCCCTCAAAACCACTAAAGCCGCACGCAGAGGAGCCGAGCAGCACAGCTGCACATGGCGGCCGCACCTGCAGCGCAGCATGGGCGCGAACGG